GTGGCACCCCCGGTGTGGGGGGGGGGGGGGGGTCCCCTCCCCCCCAGGGATTTCCGCCTATGTCTGGAGCTGTCTTGCACAGTATCTGTAACATTTGACTCAACACAGTGCCATCTACTGGTTTCTTCTTAAATAACGGGTACAATTAATTATTGAAGAGATTTCTACAACATTGAACTTTGTCATTTGTCATTCAGTCAGGGATGTATGAAGCCAGTTGAGTCAGTTTAGACTAACTGGACCATGCTAACTAGCCAAAACTAAAAAAGGAAAACGTTTTTTGTTTGTTCGTTTACTCACCCTCTTGTCAATTGTGTCCATATATTCACACATAGCTAATAACTAACCAAAACATTTTTGTTTTGCTGGTATGGAATGTAACCTGTACCTAGAAATATGTAACAGATATTTAGCCACAAAAACATGATGCGGGCAAGTAGTTCTTCTTACTGAAGAGCGTTTCTTCATTAGACTTCCTCTATTATCTCATGCAGTAGAAAAATGTTTTGCGCAATTATTTTCTTCTATTTCTGCCACCTGGTTGGTAAGTTAAAATGTTTTTTTTATGGCTTCAGGTTCATTATGGTCAGTTGATTAGATTTATAGGCTATTAACAGTTATTTCAAGAGATTCTGTCATCATTTACTCACCCTTTTGTCGTTCCTAACCTGTATGACTTTTTTCTTCTGTGGAACTCAGATGATGTTTGGCTTGTTTTAGACCTAACTGGCTTTCAATGTATAGACAAAAGCAGCCTGATGAGGGTTAGTAAATGATGACAGGATTGTCATTTCTGGATGAACCCCTAAATCTTGCTATTTTGGTGTGTTTTGTTCTGATACAGATGCAGGGAAGACAGTGTCAGTGATGGAGGGAGAGTCTGTCACTCTACACACTGATATACGCAGATATGATGCTAAATTTTACAGATATTATATGGATTATATGGAGTGGAGTAGGTTTAGACCTGAAGAATCTCGTAATGTTAGAATCATTCAGCTTGATGTGAAGACAGGTGACATTAGATATTATTATGATGAGAGATTCAGAGACAGACTACAGATGGACAATCAAACTGGATCTCTGACCATCAGGAACATCAGAACCACAGACTCTGGACTTTATCAAATGTACAGTACATTCTCAGTAGAATCATTCAGTGTTACAGTCTATGGTGAGTAGGTGAATTTAATGTGCTCTTACTTCATAAATCGTTTAAAATCTCCTATATATCCCAATAAGTTGTAAGAATATTAACTGACAGTATGCCACTGATACTGTTTGATAGAGCTTAAATTAATTTATCCTAGAATATTTAGTAAAATTAATCAAGTAGACATTTATTTCACGTTTCTCTCATGTTTTCCAGCTGGTCTTCCCATTCCTGTCATCACCAGAGACTCTTCATGTTCTTCATCATCAGGATCATCACAGCAGAACTGTTCATTGGTGTGTTCAGTGGTGAATGTGAGTCATGTGACTCTCTCCTGGTACAAAGGAAACAGTTTATTGTCCAGCATCAGTGTGTCTGATCTCAGCATCAGTCTCTCTCTACCTCTGGAGGTGGAATATCAGGATAACAACACCTACAGCTGTGTGCTCAACAATCCCATCAGCAATCAGACCACACATCTGGACATCAGTGGACTCTGTCAGACATGTGCATGTACGTCGATGTGGATATTAATATTATTTTAAAAATAATAAATGTTTGTCAAATTCAGGTTCTCAATAAAACTTATTTTTCTACCTTCAGATCGAGTCCACTGTTGCGGTTTCACTGAAGCTGTGATTCGATTGGTCATCTCTGCTGTGGTGGGCGTGGCTACTGTTGCCATAGTGGTTTATGACATCAGATCCAGAAGAGCTGAAGCAAAAAGCAAACATGAGGACATAGACTCCATTTAATTTTCCATTAATTTAATTTATTCTTCTGAAAAATTAAAAACATGCAGAAAAATTTCAGTGTGATAATGTTAAAAAAGCTTTGCTAAACTATTATTTCTTCCTCCAAACTAATGTGCTAAAGTTCTGTTTTCTTGGTCTTTTTTTTTCCAATAATATTGTGCAATATTAAAAGTGCATAAAAATGACATTTAAATGTACTTTATTAAAATGTATATTACATTATTATAACTTTTATATGAGTGTCATTAACCTGGAACTCAATTAATCAATCCTGTTGAATAAATGGACAGAAGTTTAAATTTTGGGTGAAAAATGTTACTTTAAGAAAGGTATAGTTGAAAGTTTATTACTCTTTAATCCTTGCTGCACAAAATTATTCATTAAAATTCAATCAATGTTCAGTCTAAACTTAAAGATCATGACTGCATAAACACTCTGAAGACAATATAGGTGTTTCTGCTGGGAATGCTGAAAGAGGAAATAATGGTGAAAGAGCAACATTAATAGTTCAGTTAGAGTGAAAGGAGAAGAAGTCTTGAAAGTAGCGTTATAATAACCCACACTCGGTTAACACCTATATGACCCCATATGGAATACATTAAATCAGGGGTCCAGAAACCTCAGCAATGCCCCTGTATTCAGGATTAAATGCAGTGGTGCTCAGTTCTGCATTTGCACAACTACATCCCTCACCTGCATTATTACGTTCACAGAAAGCTGTCAAAACATTGGTCATCCAAATGCTGAAGAATATGCCTCACACATGTGCTGTTGTCTTAAACATTTGGCTGTTAGTGGGTACGTTTTTATGCCTTTTTAAGTCTTGCTGTTTTTTTTTTAAGTACCGTACTTATATTTTTATAGTCATTTTATGATTTTTTTAACTATCTGAACTTTTCAAAGTGTCAAAATATAGACTCATAATATTAATAATAAAAATACTGCATATTTACAATGTATATTTTATATTTATAATGTATATTATTTTAATGCTGTAGGCTAATGATCATTGAGTTATTATTGAATGAGAAAACAAAAATTAGGAATCAGTTCTGCATATTGGTATCAAGAAGTAATAAAGAGCAGCATTTGTTGAGCACAGCATTGACTAACCTGGGAATCGCTTCTTGAATGTTCTCCAGGTGTGTTGTTTGGTCCTCAGACAGGTGGAACGGAGACGGTATCAGTGATGGAGGGAGATTCAGTCACTCTACACACTGAACATACTGAAATACTGACAGATGATCACATACGGTGGACTTTTAGGCCTGACAGTTCGAACATTTGTGTAGGTCAAATGATTAATCGAGTTGTCTCTTTTCCTGATGGTAATGAGATATTCAGAGACAGACTCCATTTGGACAATAAAACCGCATCTCTGACCATCAAAAACATCACAACTGCACATGATGGATTTTATGAAGTAAACATCGGCCGTGCCAACAAAGTTTTTAACAAGATTTTTATTGTTAATATTTACGGTGAGCACTTCAGTTTCATTTGCGCTCCTCTCCAGATTAACACAGTCAGTCTTGAAATTTTTCATATGTCAAAATTAAAATTTAAAGGCTAACATTTGAATGATGACATGTGATGACAAAACTTGTCATCAGTTCTCAAACTTATTTAGGCCTACAGAGAGAAAAAAAAAAAAGTAACATATTGAATATGCACATTTCTTTTGGTTTTGGTTTAAAACAATCTGTTTTACTACTGACAACTAAATGTGAATCTGTCTATCATTTTGCCTACAAAAAATGTATTTATTGCGTACACAGGCCTACATCAAAGAGACGTCTATTTGACGCCTCCATTTACATCTGCAAGACATATTTTTTATAGTGTTTGCTCATCTGTAATACATCTATAGGACGTTTCCAATCAGATGTCGAATAGACGTTTAGAAGATGTCTTGAAGATGTTTATGATTTAGAATGTATGTAAAACTGACATCTTAAAGACATCTATCAGATGTTTGTACACAGCAGATGCTTTCTAGATGAATCTTTGAAGGGGTCATATGATGCTTTTTTAAAGATCATTATTTTGTGTATTTGGTGTAACAGAATATTAACTTTGATAAAGTATATCTTTTTGGTTTTGAGACTTTAGTCTTTGCAACTTCAGGGATCTTATCTATGCACAATCAGCTTGTAACACTCCAAAGAGAAAGGAAAACTTGAAATTGCATCATATGACCCCTTTAACAGACATCTTGACTGTACAGTCAATGTACTTGAGTTTTTTATATAAAAAAACAACAACACTTAAATTAGCCTACGATGTTAATTATGTTGAAAGTGCAATTTTACAGCATACCAAGTTTTTATGAAATAATTCCGCTAATAGCGTCACGCAAGATGGTGCCATCACGTTGTATGAAATGACTGTCAGTTGTTTGAACTGATATACAAAAATAAAAGCAAAATTTTTATTTTTGTATTACTATTTTTTTTATTAATTTTTTATTACTTTATTACTAAATTGTATTAATTTATTACTATCATGTTTTTATAATATCATGCTGCATATTATTCTAACACCTTTAATGCATGAACATGTCTTTATATTATAGGAAGGGAATTGTCATATTTGGCGGTCCCAGTCATTACCAGTGAACGTTTTTCTTTGTCATCGGGCTCAAAATGTGTGCTGCTGTGTTCAGTGATAAATGTGAGTGATGTGACTCTCTCCTGGTACAAAGGAAACAGCATCAGTGTGTCTGGACCCATCAGCCGAGTTTCTCTGCCTCTGGAGCTCGAGTGTCTGGATGAATCCTACAGCTGTGTGTTGAACAATCCCATCAGCAATCAAACTAAACCTCTCAACAGCACTGAACTCTGTCAGCAATGTCCAGGTACATCATTAGCAGTACGCTTCTAACACTAGTATTTTATTCGAACATTGGATCAGTTTTCTTCTGTTTCTGTCCTCAGAACGCGTCCACTGTTGCGGTTTCACTGAAGCTGTGATTCGATTGGTCATCTCTGCTGTGGTGGGCGTGGCTACTGTTATCATAGTGGTTTATGATATTAGATCAAGAAGAACTGAACAAAAACTAAAAGGAAACATACGAATATAAACTCCCATTCTTTTCTTTAAGTTCTGAAAGTAAAAAAAAAAAAGCATGCAGAAAACATTTCTGTGTGATAATGCTTACATACTTTGCTAAACTATTATTTCTTCCTCTAAACTAATGTGCTTAAGTTCTACTTTCTTGGTCTTTTTCCTAATAAAGTTGCGCTATATAAAGTCTGCTATTGTTTAAGATTCTGCCCTGTTTTAGCTAGAGACTGACCAACTTTAAATTTATAAATCATTTACGATATTTAATAATAATAATAATAATAAATGTTTTAAAAATCAGAGTTAGAGCCAATATTAACAAACCAACAATCGATTAAGTTGAAAAAGTTTGGATATCGGTAAAAAAAAAAAAAAAACGTTGATTATCGGTTATATCTATAAGATTATTTGCCTATACTGTATCTAGCTTTGCCCATAATGAAGCTTGCAAATGCGATGTTCATGTAATTTTACATTTCACAGAAATGTGAATACTGTAAAATGGAAACTGTGGCTAACACACACACACACACACACACACACACACACACACACACACACACACACACACAAAGAAACAAGAAGTGAAGATATGTGAGAAAAAGTGTCAAACCTTTTGAACTTATCGACATGAGAATCTTCATCAGAGATGTTCATTTCTGCTGCTGCCTTTCTGTGGAGTTTATTCACAACAAAAAGATCATTTAAAAAATAAATAATACATTTTTGCAGAAAAATGGCCAAAACAATGATGACTCAACCGTTGATGAATATGGTTGACATGGTTGTTTTGTTCTAACAGATGTTGGTTGGTAAGACGCTTAAGCAAGCATCTTTCAAGGCTATTATTTCTTGCATTTTTATAGAATAAAATGTACCAAAAATAAAAATGGTAAGCTAGCCCATACATAATATACATAACTTCAGATGTTTCATTTAGCTGTCACATTACCCTTGGCATATGCTATTTTGACTATTACTTTGAAACCCATTTTTAAGATACAAATGTCTAATAGTGTCAAATTTTAAATTAGTGAAATTAAATTTTTTTTACTTCATAGGACTGATTAATATAGGCCTATATATTGTTCTAAAGTAACTGCAAGTTGATTTTGGAATACAAAATTGCATCAGTATCTTTCACATTTATTACTTTATAACTATGGAAAGACCTCATAAACTCCACCTGCCCACTAGAGGGCAGAAAACACTTAAAAGCTTCTGACGCCGAGGGGTGATGAATTTTGGACAGGGTTCGGCAACCTGCATACCAAAAGGTATCCATTGAGGGAGTAAGATTAATACTATTATAGTTGTTTATTTTAAAAGTATTAAAATTTTAACACCTGATATGGCAGATGCCTTTAATAATTTGTAATCATCTGTTTTATTCAGTTATGAGATATACTGTATAGGAAGTATGTAGTTTCCAAAGTCAAAAGGCCTAGTGATCACACGTTTGTAAAAAGAGACAACGGTTTCTTTTGCAACCACACGTTTATTGATTCGGTACAGGTGTTTCGGTGCTGTTGTGGTTGGGGCGGTTTGGAGGTAAAGGAGGACTGCAGATGGATGGATTTACAGGCCAAACGTCACTCCATCAGGCGTTTGAAGGACTGAACCGTGGGGCAGACGGTGCCCCAGTCCACAGGCTTATGGTACTCCCCCTTCTCCAGTAGGTACTGGCGCCCCCTGTAGTTTGGGTGTTCGTAGAAGATCCATATCCCGTCAAGCACCTTACAGGAGAGGACCTCGCGTGTCCGAAAGCGCTCCACCACGGATGGACAATCCTCAGTGGTCTCGTACACCTGGCCCGTGAAATCTCCCTTGTCGTAGAGTTGGATCTTGTACTCAGAACCACTTACCTGGAGAGGAAGGAACACCTTTTGCGCACTACGCACTACATAATATTTTGCATCCATGTGGGTGACTTACAAAGTGGATCATCTTGCAGGAGCAGAGGTGGTCGTTCAGACCCATCCGGCGTTGGTAATCCGGATACTCGCCCCTTGTCAGAACATACTGGTAGCCCATGAAGTTGGGCCTTTCGTAGATCACCCAGGTCCCGCTCTCCACACGGATGGAGGTACACCGGTTCAGGACGGCATGGAAGTCCGAACAGTCGCTGACGCACTCATACCGACGGCCCTGGAAGTTCTTGTCCTCGTAGAAAATGATCTGCTCAAATGTGACGGTGGAATTTTATATTTTAATAAACTACCTCTGGTTACATTACAGGTCTATTAAATATTATTATTTTTAAAAATATTCAATATTATATCTAAAAATAATATAACATATTTACAATTATAATTATTAAATTATATATTATATATAATATAATATATAATTATACACACACAAAGCAAATAAATAAAAATATTAAATGTATAAATTATAAATATATAAATTAAATATAAATTACAAATAAAAATTATTTATTACAATGCTGTTAAAAATAAACATACAATATATAAATACAATATATGAACTTAATTATAATTGTATATATTCCCCAATCTATATATATAAATAAATGTGTATTTAAAATGTATGTATGTATGTATATATCAAGCATAGCATTAGTTCTGGCAGGTCACGTCAGTCAAGCTTGCATCAGCTGACTCTCAGCTGATCCACGTCTACCTTTAGGAATATGACGCCTATCACTACTTCCTTATATAAGGTCCATTCAGTATTATTCAGCAGCCTATCACTATCAGTAGTTAATTATCCTCCTCCATCCCCAGCTCCTCCTTTCGTCCACAGTTAGGGCTTGGCATTCTGATATTCCTTGTTGAGTCAGACTCTTTTATCCTGAATTGTGTGTTACATTAAATCATTAAGAACATAAATTATATCTGCTCTGTTCTGTGTACCCTAATTTAATTGCAATTGAATAAAAAATAAAATGTAAATTAAAGACAATCTTTTATGTCCAACCATTTCAAAATGGCTCTGTTGTCTATCACTAATCAGTCACAAATGGCAGCTAATAAATGATCAATAATCGGAGCAGTGTGTCCTGATCACCTTTGTACTCATCCGGCCCATTCTGCAGAGGTTCGGCTGGCGGCGGTGCCTGTGGAAGGGGTAGAGTTGCGGAGCTGTGCTGGTTCAGGCCCGTCCCACTCCGGCTCTTTTATACCCAGACATCTCTCTGTAAAGAGGACATTCGCTTTGTCATGAAAGATCCAAGAAGCCAGATCCAAAAATTGAGTCAGTGCTTTCTAGAAAAAGACAGGTGGATTATGGGATATAGAGATGGCACAGTGTGCATGGGCCTGTTTGGATGTGTGTTTATTCAGCTGTGTTGGTAGGTACACACACACCTCCACACACACTTGTATTAAAAATTACTGGTCAATAGAAGTGGATAACCAACTTCCTGTATGCAAAGTATTGAAATTCCAGGTTACACAATAGCCTGTAGTATGAACACACAAACATGTGTGCATACACTTGCAAATGTGCAAACACGCACGCTCAGATACACACAAAAATGACATTCCTGGCTGCAAGCAAAAATCTCTGCCAAATTTCAGGGATCAGATGAGCTTATATGGCTTCAGTGTGACCTACTTCCACCCAAAAACACACAAAAAGTTAACTTTTCTTAATTATTTGCTTAATATGCTTATGTAATACATATTCTTTACGACTAACAAAAATGCTTACTACAGCTAGCGAATTTAGTAAATGCTTCTAGAGACTGTAATAAATATAAATATAAAATTTGAGCATAAAACCTTTATAGCTAAAATTGTCCACAGAAGACAAAACAGCGCTCGGAATGAACAAGAAACTGGTAAGAGTTTTAAAACAGAGAAAAACAAGTTATTTAGAGCTAAATATGCTAGCTAGCTAGTTAGAGGAAGGTAATTAGGATTTAGGATTAATTCTACATAAATTAACATTCATGAAAAAAACAGCTGCATCTGTTAAGATTCTAAGTGTGTGACACTTTGCTATCCCATAATGCCACAGGAGCTGAGGAAAAATACATAATAGCACAGAGCTAATGGCTTCTCTTTTCAAATGTAAGTGCTATAGCCTATAGGCAGTGTTGGGGGTAACTCATTACAAGTAATGCGAGTTACGTAATCAGATAATTACTTTTTTCAAGTAACTAGTAAAGTAACGCATTACTTTTTTAATTTACAAGAAAATATCTGAGTTACTTTTTCAAAAAAGTAATGCCAGTTACTTTGTTTTCCCATTTATTGACTGACAAGTCTCCTGTCCCCATATTGGGAGAAATCGGAAGTGCAGAGGAGTTGTGTGCGCTGTGTGAACATGATGCTACTGTAGTTCTAGACTAAATGTGAATGTGCATTAATTCATCCCACTCACAAAAAAACTGATTTAGTATTAATCAAAATGAATTAAAACAGTGAAATGCAAACTCAGAATATGACGCAAACCTGCAATAATTAAATGTTAAATAACACAAATGTATCTAATCCCATTTTCTTAACCAATGTCTTTGCTGCTGAACTTTGATGATCCAGTTCAACTGTAATAATAAGCAAAAATGACTTTAGATAAACTAACAATTGTGCTTTGTTTTTTTATTGCTGAAGAGTGTTTCTTCTCCTGCGTTCTACTGTACAGACGTGAATTTACTTTTGCTTCAGACTGAGGTTTATTCATTACACATTTTGGTGTGTTTGGCTTTTATATTTGCTATAAATAGAACTTCTTATATTAAAAACAATCAAGCCCTGCTTATATTTTAAAAGTAACGCGAAAGTAACGCAAAAGTAATATAACGCATTACTTTCCATAAAAAGTACCTAACGTAATTAGTTACTTTTTTTAGGGAGTAACGCAATATTGTAATGCATTACTTTTAAAAGTAACTTTCCCCAACACTGCCTATAGGTAATAAAGATGTCATTCTTTGTGGTAAAATTGTAGTTTTTGCCGTTGTTATTGGTATTATTAGTCAAAGTGCAATGCCAACATGATGGATGCTAATTGACATGTCTGCATACCTAACTTTCTTCCTCAAATTTTGTACATGCTCAAAGTATGCAATACTTCACAAAAAAGCGTTCATCTTTTCTTCATAATAACACTTTAGCGTTAGAAATGCTGGCAATTAGCCACAATAACGTAGGATCTCTCATATTTTCTTCAGAAAGCTAAAATATAATATTTTAAATATTACTTGTGTACAATAATATGGAGATCCATTTCCAGGTGAGGAAAGAATGTCTTTGTGAAGTTAAGGAGAAAATGTTTGGGTCTGCTTTTGACAGCTGTGTTTCTAAGCAGGCTAAGTGGTTCAGAGCAGAGTATGTGAGCGGAGCGGTGTAATTTTGAATGGAGGGAGGAGCGGATTTTTTTTTTTTTATACATTATACGTTATGAACAGAACTGTGATATTTCAAATTCAAACATACTGAAATACTTTAGATGCGGAGTGGTGTTTCTGATATCAGTGAGCGCGGAGTGGAGCGGGAGCGGGAAACTGTGAACCTGGAGCCGAGCAGAGTGATTATTGAATGCTTGGAGCGTGGAGGGAAAATTGTTGCCGCTCCACTCCGCTCACATACTCTGGTTCAGAATGGGCTTGTGATTCATATTAACTTACAGTACGACCTTCCTGTAACATTAATCACCCACATGTGAGCTCCTATAATACATGCACATTTAAAAACTGCTCTGTTAAAGGGTTAGTTCACCCAAAAATGAAAATTAGCTTGTGTTTTACTTACCCTCGAAGCATCTTAGGTGTATATGACTTTCTTCTTTCAGAAGAATCCAGTCGGAGTTATATTAAAAATTGTCCTGGCTCTTCCAAGCTCTATCATTGCAGTCAGCGGGTGTTGCAGTTGAACAGTCCACAAGTCGTCAAATAAAGCTCGCGCTTTCATAATAAATGTGCCGCTGACGGCTCCGGGGGATGAATAAAGACCTTCTGTAGCGAATCCATGAGTTTTTGTAAGAAAAATATCCATATTTCAAACGTAATAAACACTTTTCTCTCACTTCCGTTATCTATCATAGGCGAATCCGTTCCGGCGGAAGGCCGGACGTATGCGCAGCGCGCGCGCCTCTGAGATATGCTAGTCTCGCGAGTTTGTTTAATAGGAGCAAAGGAAGCAAAGTTTCCTTACTTTAGCAAAGGAAAACCAGTCTCCTCTTGGTTTATATCAAAATCCTCCGAC